ATGCCACACACCCTTCTCCAGACTGCTTCTGCTCACTGACATCTAGGGCCTCTGGAGCTCAGGGACACAGAGAGCCCCACTTCCCACTCCGGACCCCAGGAAAGGGAGAGAAGGCCACACTCCGCACCTACCATGTGCTGCTCCTGCCGCAGCACTGTATCCAAGCGATGCAGGTCTTTGAGATGGAGGTAATAGACACACAGGTTGATGTCCGCACTGAAGGGGTCAGAGAAGCAGAAGAGACGGCACAATGGTTTAAATCTAGAGCATCTCCCCAAAGGCCCGGAGGCAAGGGCTTTGGAGAGCGACTAGATGTGTCAGTGGGTCCCGCTACTGCTGAGCTCATGGCTGAATGTGCCATTAGGCTGTGGTGGGCCTGGCTGGAGAAGTGGCCCTGGGACTGTAACCCACAGGGTGCGCTCTTGTCCTGCTCCCCCCGCCCCCCATGCTTCCTGGCTTCCCTGGTGCAAGTGGCTTTCTTTTCCAGATTCTTCCCACCACAATGTTCTGCCATAGACTGAACCCCCTGAAGCCATGAGCCAAGTAAACTTCTTTACATGGTGGACGCCGGCTGCTTTGTCCCAGCACTGGGAAAGTGAACAGTACGGCCGTGACAGCAAGGGGAAGCCTGGTAACTGCAGTGATGGTGATGGCTGTGGTCAGGGTGATGGCAGTGAGCAGGGAGGAGATGGTGTTACTGTGAGTGGTGGCTGGGAGGATAAAGATGACACTACAGACAGACCTGATGACGGAAAGGTGCACTACTGTCCCTGCTCCTCCTTTCTCTCCTGCATGCTGCCCACCATGACGCGAGAAGCTTTCCCCCACCAGACCCTGCCATCACGCTTTCCTGACTTGGAGACGGCCACGGGCTGAAGCCACTGGAAACCGAGTTGAAGAAGCCTCTCTTAAGTTACGGGTGCTGCGTTTTGTGTCCCCGTGCTGGGACAGGGCCTAGGTGGAAAGTCAGTGCCCTGGGTGTGTCCTGGCCCTTGCTCCACAGTGCTGCTGCTCCTCACAGCCCCCAAGGCCGGCAGAAGGGGGCCAGCTGCTGGACACACGCGAATAACCGGAGTGAACTGTGTCAGCTCCCCACGGCTGCCCGGGAACACTGTCGGCTCTGTCACCACGTGGCCTTTCCCCTCAGTGCCACTCACAGATGAGGAAACAGACTCAGAGTGGAGCACCTAGGATGGCCACGAACGGCCACTGTCTTGGTTACTTTCCTCTCGTTGCTGGGACAAAATACCCAACATCCAAAAATAAGGAAGGAAAGGCGTACTAGGCTTCAGCAAGTGCAGGTTCAGCTCACAGTCAGCTGGTTCCACGGCAGGGAGGGTGGTGTGGCGCAGGGCCAACTCTTCAAGCTGGCAGAAGACAGCAAAGTGGCAAGAGCCAAAACGGGGGCAGCAGACCTCTTTTTCTCCTGTATATGGTGGGCGGCAGGCTGCCGTCCTGAGGCAGGTGCTGCGCCCTCCATCTCTGTTCATCCTCTCGCACAGGAGGAGGACGTTTACAAAGGGGGGATCCTGCCCCCCTGCAAGTCTCTTAGTGAAGCTTCCTCTCAAGTTGACACAATGTATTGGCCCTTACAGCCACACAGTCACCTGTTGGACATTCTGTCTCTCACAGGCAGACACATCTAAATGACAGTGCACATACCCCAGGATGGCCAATGCTAAAGAGCAGCTGGTGCATCCCAGCACTGGCCTGTTCACCCACCCTGGAAGCTCCCATTCACTACAGCGTCCTTCTTCTGGCCACTTTCAGTGTTCACACAGAACTTAAAGCCCCGGACTAACCCTTCTGCAGCCTTGAGCCATCCGGGCCCCTGGAACTTCAGAGCAGAGTGGCTGAGGATCGCTGCCTGAGCCTGCTCCAGGCTGAAGCTTGATCGGGAGCACAGATGGAGGTGAGGCGGCTAGGTCAACAAAGCTCCATCCCTCTCTGCTGTGTGTCCTTGGGGAAGTCACTCAGCCTTTCTGTGTCTTGTTTCTGCCTTTATGAAGTTGGGGAGGGACTCTTGGCATCTACCTCACAGGGTTGTTGGGGGAAATCACTCAGTAAGTCTTATTTATGAACCACAGCTGCCCTGCTGGGCAACACGAGAGACAGTGAACAGCAGGGACTTGGGCCTTGTGTTCATGTGGCACAGCATGTGCCCTGTCCTCCCAGGTGTCTAGGCCAAACCTGTGATAAGCAAGGTCCTCTGCCTTTCCCAGCTTAATTCTGCTTCCTCCACATCAGTCAACGCTGCATGTGTGAGTGCCAAGGGCATCTGGGATCCCGGCTCGGACACGGACAGCTGTGTGCCCCTGGCAGAGTGACTTAACCTCTCTGGGCCCTGAGTCTGCCTTGCATGCTGAGCCCTGCCCCGCTCCTTCTCCGGCCTGCTCACCTTTCACAGGCCAGCACCTCGGGGAAGCTGCCTGATGGCAAGAAGGCGTGGCACAGCAGCCGGTCCTCGCTGGCAGCTGAGCGGGAGCTGCAGGAGGAGCTGCCGTCATCCTTCTCGGCTGGGCTCAGGCTGCCCAGGCTGCTGGAAGGCGAGGGTCCCCCTGGCTGGTGTGGCAGGGCCGCTGGCCTCAGGGTCTCATGCAGGGACGGGTTGGAGGAGCCGTCAGCCAAAGGCTGGTGGCAGAGTGGCTGTTAGTTCCGAGTGCACTGCAGTGTGTTCCACAGTTGCACAGCCTGCCCGCCCCAGACTGCTCGCTCCCCAGGGTTGCAGTCACAGCCAGGATCCAGGGACCTGAAGCCCAGCCCAGCGTCCCCCTGTAGCCAGCCCTCTGTACCCGGCTTCTACAACAAAACATCACCTGGCTCCATCCCAGCACCGTGCATTCAGCACCCATGCAGCCTCCCCCTGCTCTCTCCGCTCACCTCTGTCTCCAGACCCATGGACCTGGATGCCTATTCTGCTCTTCCTGCAGGGGCCCAGAGTCACCTTCAGACCCAGGCCCTGAGGTGGCTTCTCTGCCCTCCCACAGTCCCCGCTGTCACGGCTGCATCTCTGGCTGCCCAAACTGAGGCAGCCGTGCTGGCTCTGGCCCTGGCCCTTCTGCTGTGCTTCCTTATGGGTCTCTCCAGACTCTGGTCCCCCTGCCTTGAACGGGCTTGCTCCTTGTTTGCTGGGCAGAACCATCCCTCCCTCCCCACACCAACTTGGGTTCGAAGCCAGGTCCCAAAGGTTGCTGGGCATGACTGTGTGGGCTGTTTGATCACATGTTGGATTTGCTGGGCCCTGAGGTACCCCAAGGGGGGGGTCAATGCTCCCCCAGTTCAGGAAGCCCAGCACCCTGGCCGGCTGCTTATAGGGCTCAGCAATGGTAGCTGCTGATGTAGAAATCCGCTTCACCCATCTACCCACTCACCCACACACAGCTAAGTGAAGGGCATAGATCCCAGCATGTGTTTCGAGAATAGTTAAGGGAAGTATAGCCACTTAAAGGTTCTATGGAAACATGGCTTGCCACAAAATCCTTAACTAGGACTGAAAATTGCACTTTTACTGCCTTCACCCTGACTTCAAAATCTAGGAGATTCCTAAATTAACTGCATGTCTAAGAAGGAACTCAGAACTCTCACCCGGAACTTCTGATTGATGGGGTAAATGACCTTGGCCTTCAGAGCAAATGCAGTGATGTTGCTGTTGAAAGATGGCTCACATTCCTGGGGAGGAGACAGAATAAATGACATGGGAGGTTTTCAGTAAAATGAAGGACAAAGTGCCAAGAGTTTCCAAAATGCCACGTGCTAATTCTAATAGTAGTTTCAAGAAGTGACATGATAGGCCTCTTTAGATCCATGTAGGTATACATGTCCTGTGAGGATGGACGGATAGGTGGGTGGGTAGAGATGCAAAGGTAGATGGACAACTTGGTGAATGGGCCTGTGGATGGATGGGTGAATGGGTGGATAGGTGGATAGGTGGATGATGGATAGATGGGTGGGTGGGTGGATGGATGGATGGATGAATAGATGGGTGGGTGGATAGATGGTTGGGTGGGTAGGTGGATGGGTGTATGGATGGATGGATGGGTGGATGGATGGATGGGTGGATGGATGGATGGATGAATAGATGGGTGGGTGGATGGATGGATGGATGGATGGATGGATGAATAGATGGGTGGGTGGATGGATGGGTGGGTGGGTGTGTGGATGGGTGGATGGATGAATGGGTGGATGGATGGGTGGATGGATAGGTGAGTGGATGGGTGGGTGGATGGGTAGATGGATGGGTGGGTGGATGGATGGATGGATGGGTGGATAGATGGATAGATGGGTAGATGGAAGGATGGATGGGTGGCTGGATGGATGGATGGGAGGGTAGATGGGTGGATAGATGGATGGGTGAGTGGATGGATGGGTGGATGGATGAGTGGGTGGATGGGTGGATTGGTGGGTAGATTGATATATGATAGAAAGATGAATAGTGGAAAGAAGGATGGATAGATGAATGACAAATGTATGCACAGGTAAATAGAAAGATGAACAAAATATGGAAGGAAGGAGGGAGGGAAGGTTGGGTAGATGAGTGGGTGGAGGCTTGGATGACGGGTTTGTGAGTGGATATATTGACAAATTCTTGGACAAATAGATGGCATCATTCAATTCTGATTCTTCAGCTTTGGAAATAACAAGGATTTTTTTTTTTTAACAAAATAAGGATTTTACGTGTCTGTTAATAAATTCAAGTCTTTTAAAGACTGTGAGGGCCAGCAAGATAGCTCAGTGGTCTAAAGTTCCTGATTAGGCAAGCTTAGGCAAGCATGCGGGGACTGAGGTTCAATCCCCAGCATCAGATGCCGCTCCAGCCCTTTCCCCAGGGTGGGATGAGTTGGCTACGTGAAAAAATAAATAAATAAAAAGTAAAATAAAGAACTGCGAATGATTTTTAAATGGGAAAAGCAAACCCATGAAATGATTTTAAGGTAGGAACAATTAATAACTAACTACAGCCAGCAACAATTGATGGTGTATTTCAAAACAACTGGTAGAATCTGAAGTTTCCGAGCACCACGAAATGATAAATGTTGAGGAGATGGAAAGGTTAGTCATTCTTTTCTGATCATGACAGGTAGCGAATTATCCTATGAAGCCCTGTAAATATGTATAATGATTGTCAATTAAACATTTTTAATTAAAAAATTTTAACATTGTTAGGGCACAAGCACATGGGGCAACATGCGCGCAAGATTCTGGATTATGCCCTTAAACAATAAAGGAGTGCGTGGGCCAGTCTGTGAACTCCATGCAGCCTCTGTCTTCCCAGGCAGTAAAGAGGGCTAGAGGATCTGTCCCCAAGGACCACAGGGACAGGGCGCCCAGCTGAAGGTTCTGAACAGAGGGGCAGAGCCCGAGGCAGCTGGTGTAGCTGTGCTCGCGGGCTCGTCTGTGCCTGCCGAGAAGCCTCCCCTGACTACAGCAGGATGGACCTCCTGCTGCCCTGGCCTCTGCCCCAGTCTCTGCACCTCTCCCTTACAGGCCTCCCTGTGTCCCCAAATCCCTGCTAGGGAACCAGCAAGGCGGGCAGGTAGGGTGTGTGTATGTGTATGTGTGTGTGTGTGTGTGTGTGTGTGTGTGGCAGGAGGCTGGCAGCAGAGAGCCACACTCCAAGCAATCGCCTCAGGCCTAGCAGGAAACACCCAGGTGGTTTCTAGCCTTGCCCCAAGGAGGAGCTGCTCAGAACGGGACCAATCTCCAGCCGCCACGTCCTCTCTGGTCCAGATACCAATGTCGGGGACTCAGGGCTTCCTTTATCTGCGGGTCCTGCTGGGGGACTAGGAGAGGAGCCATGAGCCACAGTGTAGTCTACTACAAAAGGTGATCAAACCTTCAGCGAATGTTTAAATAAAATGTTTGCAGCATCACAATAAAAGATGTCCTGCCGTGAATCCTGCTTAACGTCCTCCCTGTCACTTCCGGCACACTTGTCCCACGGTTCTTCCCACTTTCAGAAGCAGCTCTGGAAATCCTCTTTCCTGAGTGTTTCACGAGGTGGGATTTAAAAAAATGCGGTGCCCGCTGTGGCTTCTCCTCGGTGCCATCCATGAAAGGCAGGCTTACAGCGCCTTACAGCGCTGCGTCCGCGTCCACCTTAGTCACTGGATCTGGTGCCAAGCGACTTCCTGCTGTTCCCCAAGGTCAAAATGCGTGTCAAACAGAAATGTTTTGAATTGATTCAGGACACTGAGGCAGCCAGGAAAGCACAGCAAAGACACACGCAAAAGAGGGATTCAGAGCTGCTGCAGAAAGCGGCCAGGACAGGAGAGGAGGGGCTCCAGGCCGGGCGCGATTTGTGGGGATTCATGACCCTGTGCCTCTCACTGTGATAACCTTTCCTCTCCTCCCACAGTGTGCGATGCACTTTACTTTTTTTTTTTTTTTGGCGGAACCAGGGATTGAACTCAGACACTTGGGCTTGCCAGGCAAGCACTTATTCTACTGAGCCATCTCCCTGGCCTGCACGATGCACTTTAAAACTTCCACAGAAGTAGAAAGAAAGAGGAGGAAGGGCGTGAAAGGAGGAAAACCTGGCTGTGCCTTCCTAGGGAGCATCTTCCCAAAGGGTCCGGGGAGGTGGCTCAGTAGAATAAGCACTTGCCTGGCAAGCGCAGGGTCCTGAGTTCAATCCCCGCTTCTGATAGAAAAGAAAAAGGGGTGGGGGGAGACGTTGCACGCAGTGTGAAAAGCATGAAGGAAGGAGCGCGTGGAGCCGGCCAGCTGGGCCCCCTGGAGCAGCCCCGCCCAAGCCCAGGTTGGGACTGACACAGCCCTGACTGCGGCTCTGCCCTGGGGATGTCTCACTCCCCATGCCTCCCTCCTGCAGTGTCCCAGGAGTGTCACGGCCTTGGCAGGGGAGGAAGTGGCCAGCAGCCCTTGACCCACGAGATGGAGGACTGCGCAGGTTCCGCTACCCCAGCGGGGCGGAAGGACTTTAGCTTTCAAAGCTGTCCTTATGAAGTTCAGCACCCTCCAACTTGCGAGCCTCCCTGCTGAGGAGAGAGAATTACGTAGGAAGTCGGCTGAGGCACAAATGCGCAATTCACAGGAAGCAATGTGATTGCTCAGAAAATCCGTTCGAGCATAATTGTCGGGGAAAGCTCTTCTGCTCACCCACATAAAGGTGCTGTTTGCAGTGAACACACAAACGCTCCTCCCCGCAGGGCTCAGGCCCCTCTCGCTCCCTCCACACAGAGGCTGGGAGGGTGCCCACGTAGTTCCCTGGGCATTTTTGGCTCATAGGAGGTACTTATTAAACAGAGGTCATGCGTGAAGTGGCAGGGACCAGGCTGGCCTGGTTGGCTGTGCCTTGGCACACAAGCGGGTTCCTTCGGAACTGCGCTGCCACACTGGAGTCTGCAGGAGGAGTCTCTCGGCCAGCCAGCCGGCTACAGGCAGAGCGCTAGCTCAGCTTTGGACAATTATTAGCTCGGTAATGGGCGCTGCTAGGCGTAGCTGAATAGCTAGCAAGTGAAACATTAATCACCAGGCAGGGAAAACAGGAGCCAACCCTTCGGGGGGAGAAAGATGCGGGCCCTGCAAACGCGGCTGTGGGGGGCACATATTAGAGACCCCAGCCCTGCAGCATGGGGATGCCGCAGAAGGAACCACTGCGACTCTACTGGGAGAGCAAGACGTGGGAGGCCCAGGCAGCAAGTGTCTTACCCAGCACCAGGTTAAATACCCAGCAAAGCTCGGACGGGGTTCAGTGCTGGGTCCCAGAGCCAGGGCTGTTTATGTGACGCTTCCTTAGTATGAGCGCAGTTGTTTCTCAGTTTTCTTTTTAACAGTTTTATCAAGATAGCATTTGTAAATCTGCATTATGCAACTGACTTGTGTGCAGTGTATGCTTTGGTAGTTTTCAGTATCTGCTCCAGAGAGGTGTGACTGTCCCCATGGCAGCCTTTACAAATGCTCATTGCATCAAAGAGAAACCCTGGTAGCAGTTCCCCACCCTCCTTCCCTTGCCCCAGGGCCAGGCAACCACTATCTACCTTCCCCACAGGTCTGGGCATTTCCTAAGAGTGGAATCCTGCCAATGGCGGTCTCCTGTGACTTTCACTTAATTATTCCCATAGCATAATTATTCCCAGCTTCTTCCACAATATACAGTAGCATCTATCAGCACTGTATTCCTTTAACTGGCAAGTAATATTCCTTTGTGAATGCACTGTGACCAAGTTGCACTTACACTACTGTCAGTCAATGGCCACCTGGGTTCTTTCCCTAGTTTGGCTGCTGTGGGGGGCAGTACTGGTACAACATATGGGTCCACACTGTGTGGACACTGTCTCCTTTCTGTGGCAAGGCTTTAATTGTATGATGGAAGGTTGGAGGGGGGGAGAGAGACAGACAGACAGATAGACAGAGAGACAGACAGAGACAGAAAGAGATAGAAACAGAGAGACATGCAAATAGACAGACAGACAGACACCATGCCAGGGACTCACACACTATCACAAGGAAAACTTCCAAGCCTTCAGACCCTAGAGATACAAGTGGAGTCAGTGATTGAGGGCTGTGTAGACACACATACACACACATACACACACACACACACACACGCATGCATGCACACAGGGATAGACACAAGGACAGAGACAGGAAGCAGGAGCTAGGGGTCCACAGCATCCAGGAGCAGTGGCAGGCCTGCTCCAGGAACAGAGAGCTCATTCTCCATCTCTGTGACCTCCGGTTCAGCTGGTGGCTGCCCTTGCTTCCATAGGGCCCTGTCAATGTCACGAGGACAGCCCTGGCAAGCACAGGTGGGGTGACTGAGACATCCAGCAGCTCATGCCCTGATCTCTGAGCTCCAGAGATGTTTCTTGTGCAGCATCCGCCCCTCACCTCAGAGGTCACCTGGGACTGTGGAATGAGATTACCCCGACACAAAGCAGCAGAGGCAGATGTCATGGGGACAGCAGCACTTGCCAGGCCGAGGCCGAGTAGAGTGAGGAAGAAGTCTCAAAGCCAGGGCCGCCTCTGCAGTGTCCATACAAGGAACTGACCAGTAGTGGGAGTAGGGAGCTTTTGGGTTGACAAAAGCTTTCTCCATGGGAAGTGGGGTGGGGGTAATTGGTTTCCAGGGTGTAGACATTTCTTAAAACTCATCAGACTTTGAACTTAAAATCTGTGTTTTTTATTGTGTGTAAATAATCCCTCCAAGAGGAAGCGTGATGGGATAGTACACATGTCAGAGATGGCAGGACACCAGGCAGGCTGCTCGACACCCAGGGTGCACGGGGCCAAACAGACAAGACACAAAGCTCACCTCCGCAGCCTCCTCCTCCTGGGAGATCTGTGTTTCTCTCTTCCTCCGCCTTGGGATCGGGGAGCTAGCTTCTGAGGGGCTCTGTGCATTAGGCTCCAAATTCTTGAGCAGAAGTTGAGCGTCATCTTTCTAAACCCCAGGAAGGGTGGATAGAAATATAATACTAAAGTTAGCTAGCCCCAGTGGTCTTGCCCAGGGTTTTCGCCAACCCAACCCCCACTCAGTGGTTATTTCTGCACACCTCTGTGTACCCCAAAGTGTGATCGAGCCTTTAAGATTGCCTAAATCTCCTTCCCGAGAGCCCCCAGAATACTCATCTCAAGGTGCCCACAGTAAGGAGCCCAGAGCCCCCTGAGATGCCTCCTGTGAAGGAAGCCCTCAGACTCAGAGGCCAGACAGAACCAAGCAGCTTTCATTTCTCTTCTGTTTGGCTGTGGCCTCCGAGCTGACCCTGAGCTCCTTGAAGGTGTCTGCTTTGCACTGAAAATGACACAGAAATATTAATTGTCCTGCTGTTTTCAACATGCCACTGCATGAGTTTTAAGAAATGATCTGTAGTTACTTTAAAACTAAACATATAGTAGTAGTACTATATAGAAGCAATAGTAGTTTCTATTGTGAGCCATAATCATGTGCACTCTGCATTTGCAAACTCATTCAGTGGCTGAAATGCATTAGTAACCAAAGGACTGGAGGCCTGAGGGGCTGGCACAGCCAGAAACAGACACATGCAGGGTGTGGAGCCTCCAGTTGTTCACGCACTTGCTCAGTGAAGGACAAATGAGGCCTGGTCCTCTCCTTTTGATTCCTTCTCATTCTGTAGACAAATATCCTTCCTGCAGCCTAATTAATGTGCCAGGTTTCCACAGTTTTGTGTGCTTTCTAGGTGCTTGTGCTTTTGAGGTGTTCCCAGTTGGTGTTAAAGTGTGGCCTAGCTCTCTTGGGTGCCGGAGGGTCGTGATGAGCTCAATGGTGATGAGGAGCTCAGTGGCCACGACGAGCTCAACAGCAATGATGAGCCTGTGCAGGCCAACCTTAGCGCTGCTGTCTCAAGCACACGGCGGCCACCAGCAACATGTGTGTAATGAGGGTATTTAAACAGAAATGCCCATAACACAATATCCCAAAGGTGGATTAATAAGAGTGCTGTGAGTCTCCAAGTACTCCTGGTTAGGTTCTTGGAGACTCCAGAGTCTCCAAGAACCTAACCAGGTATTTTCCCTAGAGATAAACGTTCTAGAATTCTCCAATTCAGTGATCTCCATAACTCTGAAGGACATAACTATCATAAATAGTAAGAATGGGCTCTATTTAGGGTTCTGCTATGGCAGAGACAATTGTATGCCCTCTTTGGTCACCAGTTACTCAAAGATATAATTTTTGAACGAAGCAATATCATCAGTTTGTTATTGGGTTATTCAGCAGCTATCACGAGCATCTAGTAAACACCAAGCCCTGCTCCAGGTCCTGTGAATGGTCATGAACACACAAAGCCCTGCCTCCCAGAAGCTGGCGTTCCAGGAGGAGAAGAAAGATGTAGATATATAGTCACCAGCATGGTGAGGATGTTCAGCGCTACTACGCGACGGAGGGTGGGAGAGTGGAGACTGGCTGGAGGGGAGCCTCGCAGGCCAGGTGGTGCTTTCACAATTAAAAGAAGTAGGGAGTGCGTCTCTGAGGTACCTAGAGAAGAACATACAAGGACGAGGGGCAGCAGGTGCCGGGCACCACGCAGGCACAGGCCCGGCCCACCTGGGGAAGTCTGTGTATCTGGAGCACTCTGGGGTGGGTCTTGATGTAGAGCTACGGCCAGAGGCTGTGGGTTTGTTTAGCAACTGTAGCTGGCCAGTACAAGAGTTCTGCAAGGAAAGACCTGATCAGATCATTCCAGAATAAAGACCCCAGAAGAAAACTCCTCTGACCCCGCAGGAGACCCAGATTTTTGAGATGCTCTTAAAATTGACCAGGTGGCCAAGCGTCTCCAGCAGCTCTTATCTGAACAGCAAAATCCAAAATAAAGGGACAAAACAAGCATGAGTCAGATAGTACGTAGGAAAAAGAAAAAAAAAAAAAAAAACCCAACAACAATAATGACCTCAGAGGGATTGGAGGACACGTTCTATAAAATAAGAACAGCATAGTGTAAACAGAGGACTTTGAAGACAAATGAAGAGCTCAAATATTAAAATTATGTAATGGACACAGAAACTGTTACTCATAAGCAATATAAGACTACTCTGCTATAAAGAAGGGTAAACGTGAGCCCCGGGTAGGAAGACGGCTGCACCTTGAGAACACAGTGTTGAGTAAAGTAATGCAGATGTAGAGCTTAAGTAGTGCCTGGATCCTTTCATGTGAGAAACCCAAAAAGTAAAGAAAGAACAAAATAAAGATAGGTGAGAGGACACAGGAAGGCAGGTGATTTGCATGGGCAGGGGACCAAGAGACCGAAGGAAGGGGGAAGCAAGCGCAGAAAAGGAATTGAGGTGTGTCCTGCCTATGCACAACGCCCGTGACGAACGTGCTTTCCTGTCCTGCAAACATTTGCTAATAAAAGTAAAAAATAAAATTATGAAAAGCTCAACTACAAGGATGAAGAAATCCCCCAGAAAGTAATACTTTGAAAAAAGATAAACAGACGAAATATTGGAAAGAATAATATCATTACATCCCTAATTCAACGTAAGTACAATAGGGGTTTTGGGGAGAAGAGAACATGTAAGAGGAAACAAATCTTCAAAGAGCCAAAAAACAATAAAAACAAAACAAAACAAACCAGCTTCTGTTACACAAGATCGTGTTGAATGCCCAACTCAGGAGGTGACAGCAGACTCCACAAAACCCCACCCCGACGCAGCTTCTACACGGGGGCAAAGAATGGACTGCAGATGAGCCAAAGAAAGAAGTTTCACGCAGAGCATCAAGAATCAGAACACAGTTACATTTCTCAACACTAGCCACGGAAGTTAGAAGAAAACACCTTCAAACTGTAGGTGGAAGGCGGGATTCCTTGCCTAGTGTAAAAAGTGTAAAGATGGAAGACTAAAGCTACCGCGGGGTGTGCTCCAACCATATGAGAACAGTAGCGGAGGAGACAAATGCGAGGGGTCCCTGAAACAGGGGCCAGCCAGGAGAAGAGGGAGGGAGCCCCAGCCTGCTGGCCAGGAGGCCCCAGTGATGACAGTGACGCCCAGAGCAGTTTGCTCCTCAAAATCTAAGAAGGGCTTTGCGGGCGGGCTTGCGCTTCACGCTGGCTGTGCATCAGGGTGGGCACCGTGGCTTCGTGTTCCCATGTTGCTGACCTGGCTCTCTGTTTAGCCCTGGTTTGCTGTTGAGTTTTCTGAACAGCCCACTTCAATTGGGGCATGAGAGGATGTTTCTGGGAGAAACACACATATTAAAAAATAATTATATTTTATTAAGATAAAGCTGATCGAATACTGTATGAGTTCAAATGTCTTGAAAAGCAATGTGACAAGCCAAGGAGAGTTCAGTGCTAAAAGAAGGACAACCACATAGGATCCAAGCAAATAAAAATCTGGTAATTATTAATTTCAGGGAAAAGAAATGCTGTACAGGAAAGGAAGGCAACCATAGTGGCCTCTGACTCTCGGCTTACAGAAAGCAATATCTACAGAATCATGATAAAGGAGACACTGAACGCGGTGTAACCCAAATGTCCCTCTTCACACACAGTGGTCCCTGGCGGCGTGGATATACTTCTGAACAGGGGAAGAGGCTGGGTCCTCCTGCCTTCCTGCAGGGAAGTCAGTGGCTAGCTCCAAAAGCTGAACCATGCAAACAGCAGCAATGCAATTGAGTTAGTTAGAGATGAGGAGCAATTTAACAGAAGAGCCAGCTGAAAGAGCTGTGGACACGGCTGGAGAGAAGTGGGCCGAGTGGCGGGGGGTCGCTGCTTGCAAACTGATGCTTTATATGCATGGGTAATTTTGATGTATACTAAGAAGTTGTAATGATAACATAAATAAAATGAAAGAATAAAAAGAAAGCAGTACAAGATAAAATTATGAGCTGTGGGCCTTGGATCAGAAAAGAATAGGATTGCCCAGGAGGCAGGAGGAAGCGTTCTGTTCTAGAAGGCATGGCCAGCGAAGCTTCACAGGTAGCCTTCTTTCTGAGTCCTGAGACTGAACTGGAAGTACCGAGGGGGCGCCCAGGGAACAGCGATTCTGGTGGGGTGAGCACCCGGAGCACGCCTGTGTGCGAGGCTGGGCACTGGGGAAGGGTAGGCAGGTCACCGGGTGCTCCATGCCATCATCCCTGCAGGCGGCTAGGCATACCTAGAGCTTTTCATCAGGAGAGGCATATTGTCAGATATGCATTCTAGACACAGATGGGAGAGTGGAAACAGGAGGAGCGGGGCTTCCACTAGAAAGGAGGTGGTTTCAAAGGTCACATCCAAACCATAAAAAAACCGGTCACCCTATCACTGAACCAGAGCCCCTCCACAGCTACTGCCGGGTCTGAGTCACTGTCACCCTCAAGTGACCTGCAGACAGTGTGGTTACTCATGAGCCCCCGCTGCCTTCTGGGTACAAATTGCCACCCAAGTAGGTAGCAGATGGTGGCAGCTCTGGCTTAAGGCTCCTTCCAGCCCTGATTTTGGTTCATCACAGGAGCCTGGAGAAATTGTGACCTTGTAGACCTCCACCACAAGGCTGTAAAGTGAGGCGACGTAGCTCCTGCCTTAGAGGCTTGGCATGAGGATCACAGAAGCCCCACCCTGGCACTACTCTAGTTTCAGTCCTTGGCAGCTCTTGGCAGCACACTTCCCAGGGAAAGAGACCTCCTTTGCAGGAGGGCTGGGAATCAGGGGTTGGCAAGACCATGTCGCCTGCTCTCCAATCCTGCGGTCCCGGCTGCAAGGCTCTAAAAGAGTCATCCAGCCCCAAGCACCCCTGAGCACTGCATGCCAGGCATTTCGGTGAGAGTCGCCTCACAGGAAAGCTAATGCAGGAAGCATCTGTGAATCTCCAGACAGCCACCCTGGGCCCTCATCCACACAGAATATAGTAGCTCTGCGATTGGACACATCTGTCATTTTGGTTAGTTGTTATGTAACCTCTCTGTGTCTGGGTGTCCTTGTCTGCAAACTGGGGTCATCAGTGAATCCCACTCAAGGCTGTTGGTGGCTGGTGGGATGATTCAGGCAGAGCTGCTAGCTCAGACCTTGGCTCAGTAAGGACTCAGAAATGCTGGCATTACTGTTTCTCTCTCATAGGATTGAGTCACCATGCGACGTCATGGTCTGTGTTCACTTGGGTATGACTGCTTCTCCAGGCCCAGGGCTTCAAACTGGCAAGGACAGGGTCACTCCTGCACACCCAGGGGCATCCAAGGCCCTGCTGGCAGACCCTCAGCTCCCTGTTGGCTGCAGGGATGAGCAATAGAAGAACCCAGCTAGCGACTGGGGGACTCACTCGGATGGGGGTGGGGTGCCGAACAAGGGACACAGAAGTGGGTTAGTGGGGGAGCACCAGAGCCCTCCTCTGTCTTCCACCCCTAGCTGGGGCGACTGCCAGCGACATGTCCATACTCTTTGGCCTAGGATGAGGAAACTGAGACCCAGACGGGCTTAGGGGCTTAAGATCAAACCGAGGAGTAGGGTGCAGCTGTCTCTTGTCAAGGGACCTCAGGCAAAACCGTTCAGCCACTCAGTCGTTCTCCTCTGACATCCCTGTCCAGGTTCCCCCCAGAACTAAAGGGGAGCCCGAGGCCAAAGCGCTCCTGAGAAAGGCACCCATAGATCATTCTCTAGGGGTGCTCTGACTCCCACGCACACACCCACCTGGTGCTGGAGGCATAGGCGGCCCGCGCGGCGGCCCAGCCAGAGGCCGAGGCCCAAGCCCAGCGCGGCGCCCAGCAGCACGGCCGGGACCAGCAGCGTGGGCACTGGGCGCAGCGCCTCCCGGCCGAGCAGGAGCCGCGCGTCGCTCTCGCAGGCCGCGCCGCGGGCCATCGGGGACGCTCAGGCTGGGGACCGGCCACATCCCTCACGCCGCTCCGCGCTGCTACGACCTGGCTCTGTCCCCGCCAGCTTGGGGGACAAGGGCCGCAGAGCTCGGGCGGCCGGGGCCCAGGGCACTGCTGACTTTCCGGAGGGCTCAGGCCTTTCCCTTGTCCTCTGCACTTTCCTGGATCCGCCAGAAAGCGAGGGAGGAGCCTGCACCGACCGCCCAAAACTTTGAGCCGCCCCCGCCCCAGCCCTGTCTTGCACTGAGCATGCCCGGCGGCGGGAGGCCACCTCCCAGCCCTCAGGACCACACTTCTGCAGGGAACCCCAACCCCCGAGAAGCTCTGCCCCTTCGAGTTTATAGAGCGCTTAGGAGGTGCTTAGCAGCTAGCCGGCTGCCCTACTTGATTAATTTCCCTTTCAGCCCTTGGAGATGGGTGCTGAGCAGCCGTGCTTGCCAGGAGGAGGGAGCTCAGGCTCAGAGCCCTAATGCAGGGGGACCAGGGCCTCTGCTCTCAAGGACCGGGTGTGCCTTCCTCGGGGCGCAGCCTGAAATTGCCTCTGAACGTGGCCCGAGGACTCCTGTTTCCTCCCAGGAGGGTCAGTGCTTTGCCTGGCAGAGCCCAGAGATGGCGCGGTCACCCCATCACAGGACATTGGTGGAGAATCTGCTGTGTGCTCCTAGCCTGGCCAGGCCGGCATCAGAGGAAGCACGGAGGTTCTCAGGCCTTGCAGGAAAAAGGTGATTAGAAGACCGAGTCCAGGTCTGTAAGCAAGCACTTGCTTAGTGGGTGCTAGTCATTGTCCAGGAGCTGGTGGCCCAGCGGTGGGCACACACACACACACTCACACACTCTCTCACACACACGCCCTTACTTCCTGCAGGGTGGAAGTCCCTGGGGGCAAGGCTGCACCCAAGAGGACTCCTGTGCTGGGTGGCCGAGCTCTCAACGGGCGCCTCCTGGACGACCTCATGCCTGCCTCCTCCTCTCCTCAGCTACTTTCTAGGTAGAAGGGATGAGATCTATTTCCTCCTTCTTTGTCCTTCACACAGATGAAGAGGTCGATAGCTAGAGAGGAGCAGTGACTTGATGGGGCTCTGCAACCGGTGTGTGTGGTGTGTTGCCTGCCCACCCCATGCTCTGTGGAGCTTCCTAGGTGTTCCCTTAAAGCATTGCCACGGATCCTGGGGTCATCTGTGTGGCAGGGACCCGGAGTTCGTGCTTTACGCTTGGTTTTTCTTTGCATTTACCTTATTTTAAAGTGGTGTGTGGATATGAAGCTCCTTCTCTGCTCACTGCCACGTGGGTGCTCCAACACGACTCCTGGCAGACAGCTTCCCGCCTCCTGGCAGCCCAGCACAGGGATGGGATAATAGACTCAGACTCTCAAACCTCGCTGCCTGGTCTGCGTCAGGTCAGGGAGGCCTGTCCTCGGAGGAGAAAGGGGTGCCAGGTGCCAGGCACCCTGGCAGGAAGCTGCAGGCCGCAGGCTGCAGGAGTGGAGGACAGGCTGGCAGAAGAGGGGCGCCCTTCTCTGAGGAAGCCCTCCAGGACCCTCTCCAGCTCTTGAAGGCTCTGATGGTTTTCTGGTTCTCCAAAGAGGTGGCTCAGGGCCAGGTTTCCCTTCTTGCCTTCCCAGGGGAGGTGGCCAGTCTGAGACTGATTCACCATAGAGCTGGGCAGAGTGCAGGACTGAACCCAACTGGCCGTGGAAGTCACCTTTTCTTCTTTGTCCTCCCGCCCTCTGCACTGCCCTGTCCACTCTGACTAGCCTCCTGACTCTCCGAAGGCTGCTCTTTCCCTACAGCGCCCAAGATCCGAGGCGCCTGTGTATCTGGGAAGATTTCCTAGAGGAGGGGAGACGGACTGAGATTTAGCGGGGTTAGTGGCGAGGTCCTGGGGACTGGAGAGCGACCGGATCTGATTTGGTTACTGCGGACCCCTCCTGTGCGTGCGCGCGCCTCCCTCTGGCGCCGAGCCCTTCCAGTGCGCGTTCCTGCTGCAAACTTTCGGGCGTTCTCACTGAGCATGCTCGGCGGCGGGGCGGGCCCGGGGTCCGGAAGCTCCGGCTACTACACCGGGGGCACCAGCCTTCGGTCGCGTTTCCCGGAGTGATGGTCGCAGCGGGCGCCCAGGGTCGTGCCGCGTGGGTGCTGGTCGGGGGAGCTCTGGCCTCAGCCCTGGCGCTGGGTGCCCCATCCGGACCGCAGGTAAAGAGGGCCCGACCCAGTCGTGGGGAATTCGACGCCGGCAGTCTACACTCGCGGCCCTCTTTGACTGAAGGTCGGGAAGGGAGAGCAGGGTGTGAACGCTATGCTCAGGCGTTTCTCGGGTGCGTTCCGCGTGCATCCAGGGAGTCCGGAGGAAAAGGGGAGGCTTTGCCCCGGGGGGGGGGGGTGGCTGCGGCTTCAGCTTGCCCGGCAACCTGGGTTCGAATCCACGCCACATCCTGGGAGGTCTGCACCCCAGAGCGAGTTACTGCGCCTCTCCCGCCTCCTGGTCCTGTCCCATATTGTGGGGCCATCTCGAGCCCCCAGAGATCTGTGAGTCAGTGTCTGGCACGTCAGGGCCAGGCAGGCTCCACAGGTGACACACGGTGGTGGTTGTGAGATGCGAGTTGGGACCTCGGGCTGGAGTTTTTCCTGACACCGCTCTCTGGGTGACAGATGAGGGAGATTTGGCGATGATCTCCCCTTGGTTCTCCTCTGTGGTCCCGAACTTGGAAAGGCACGGGCTTGGCTGCCACTCTAGGTACCCTACCTACAGATGCCAGGACCGGCCACGCTTGCTGCAGAGAAAGCTCAGGTGTCTTGCGGGGATCCCTTCCCTTCCTGTTGTGTGTTTTCTTACTAGAAAAGCACTGTCAGTGTGCCCAGCTTTGCACAGCTGTGGGACAGAACATGTGCCCAGAATCCTTTGTCTGCTCCCCCGCCCCCAGGGTGGGAAGTCTGGCCCATTTTGCATGGAGAAAACCAAGATCCAGGAAGGCAGGTTCCCCCTACCCCAGGCCATTCTCTGCTCTCACTGGGTCTGCCACATTCGGGGGCTGCTCCCCCCCCCCCACTTTGCATATGGTCTGACTGGGGAAGCTGATGCTGGAACACTGTGGAATGCTCAGGTGTGGAGGGGGCTCTGGGAAGGCATCTAGGACAGGGCGAGCTGAGGACATCTCACTTTCAAGGGCCACCCCTGCCTGTGTCTGGTGTGGGTTGCCTGGTTATCCTGAGACAAGAGAGGTCAGCCAGGATGAGGATCATCCTCTGAGGACTGGTTGTGCCGTTTGCTCAGGTGCCTTGGACAAGACGTGGCACAGGACTGGGCCCTGTACAAGACAGTTGTTATTAAACAGCAAAGAGGGCTGGGCCTTCGCAGGCCCAGGGATAACAAAGCGGAGGAGAAGGGCCCTGACTCTTCTTGAACATGTGTTCGTCATGCAGGGAGACCAAACAAGCTGTGAGGCAGCTTTGAGGTCTGTGCTTTTCAAAGGGGGACCTGAGGGTCAGTGAGCTCAGACTCTTGGCCAAGGACACAGAGGAGGCAGCCAGTTGCCCGCCTCTCTGAGCAGCATTTTATCTGTCACTCCTACAGCCTGCAGGATCTTCGGGATTCAGAGGCTTGGGGCTTGTCCCTGCTCCCAGGGTTTGTGAAAGTGGAGTTGAAATTCCAGCCCAGGCCTGTCTGATGTGAGATCCCAGTCCCATGGGGCTGCCCACCATGATCAGCCGCTGTACTGGGGCAGATGCCCTCAGTGCTGCCTGTGGATGCTGCTGGGGGTGGTGGATTTTGAAAAAAATCACAGCCTCTTGGGTAGAGGTGCGGCTCACCTCTGAGGGTGCCAACGATAGAAAGAAATGACTTCCACCTACTTCGTGTGTTGTTCAGCTAGCAACTTGAGCCTTTGCATTTTTAGGGTTCGCCTTGCATGATTTGGCCCCAGGCGGAAAGCTCTCACCTGGAGACTGCAGGTAAGTTTTGCTTCTCTGTTAAGCTTTTCACTGTTCTGGCTTTAGCAAGAAGTCAGAACCCTAAAGCCTCTGCCTCTGCTTCCTCACGCTCTGCTGGTACCCAGCATGGCCCAGGAGGGTCTAGGGGCCCCGAGGCTGTCCCCTGATCTTGCCCGTGTGAGCTTCAGTTCCTGGGGCAGAAATGCAGTTTGGGAGGGCCTGTCTGAAAAAGGCAGAACTTGCACCTTCAGCATATCCCAGAGCCCTGAGGTTTCTGTAACAAAGTCATAGACTTGGTGGCTCTAAACAGCCCGCTTTGTTACCTTAGTGTCAGAGGCTGGGGATGCCTGTTCCCTTCCTTCTCCATTCCACAAATGCTGTGGGTCCCGCCGCCTGGGTGTGTCACATAACACGTGTGCATTGTTGTCTTGTAGCAGAAGCACTACATGGAGTGAAATCCAGGGAGAAAATTGAAGCCCTCACCTCAGTCCCGGCTTTTGCAGCCTTTCTGGCCTGGGCCTCATCCCTCTCTCTTGCTCTTCATGGCCAGTCGGGTGGTATCTTGGGTCCATGGTCAAAGCTGCGTTCTCTTCTGTCTGCCCAGCCACCCTCTGCCTTCCTCTTTTTTTTTCCCCATAATTTTATTGGGAAATAAATAGCAATGAGACAGTTTCAAATCCAATTGGTAGGACAGTTCCAATAATTAATACATTGCATACTGTCTTCCAAGTGGTTATTTGTTGTACAAGATGCAGACATGATATCCTATTTACAATCACTATTAGAACAAATGCCTCTATTCCTTGAATTAAGAGAATGTAGCTATATGTCTATCCTACCCATTTTGAATACACAGATACAAAATGAACATTCATCTGTATCCCCTTTTTTTGTTTAGTTCTATCATTTAAATATTATAGGTGTGTGAACTCAGCAAAATATTCCAAAATAGTGCCTTCCTCTTTTGAGGATACCTGCGTTGACATGTAGGATCAACCTTCTTTACCCGGGTTACCCTAACATGTGGCATGAACCTAGAGACCCAACTGCTTGGGAGGCTGAGGCAAGAGGCAGGAGGCTGAGCCTAGGAGTTGCGGACTAAGTATTGGAAATATAGTGAGGACTATTGTGTTTCCTACCCTGACACATGTGCTATTCCTAAGTATTTTCACTCAGGAGATAAGTACAATGTGGTGGTTAATTGGCTTTGAGGACAGCCCCGCTCTTCTGAGGAACTGATACTGAGAGAATGGGTGTGACGTGCCCAGAGTCCCATAGCTGGCCAACAACCAAGCAGCGTCCACTCAGGAGGGCTCCTGGCACTCAGGCTGGGTCATGTTGGTGACATTGCTGTGCATTACATATAACGCTCAGGCATTTGCAAAAATGTTAACGCAGAGAAGATTCTAGATTTCTTTCATGGAGCTCACTTCATGTGGGGCAGCTCCGCAGGTGTTTGTGTCTGGCTGTGCTCTGGTCCCCTTGTGAGGGCCATCAGAGCTCGCGCTGCCCTAGGCTGAGGTCAGGAAGTAACCACGGAGGTCAGACGTCCTTTGTCCCCTTCAGAATTAACGTCTGCATCCGTTCTGCACCACTCTGACAAAACACCAGAAGCTGTTCACTCTGTAGAGCGCAGAAGCTTATTTAGCTGACACTCCGGAAAGCCAGAAGTCTGAGGTGAGACATCAGCTGGGACTCTAATAAGGGCTTCTCGGCTGCAAAACATGGAGGTATCCTTGCCTCGCAGGAGCTCTCAGCAGGACAGAGCGCAGGAGGGCAGGGAGAGGCTGCGCTCCCTCTTGTGTAACCACCCGCTCTTAGGGGAGCAGATCTACCCCTGGAGGCCGGATCCATCCCACAGGACCAGTGTGAATCCCTGCTGAGCGCCTTTACCACTCGCCTCGCTTCTTAAAGACCTCGCCTGCCTCTTAGTGCTGCCTCACCGAGACCAGGCTCTCCGGTGCATGCATCACGTCCAAGCCATATCCAACCCTACAGCCAAGGAAACTGAGGCACGGAGAAGTGAAATGATTTCCAGGACTCTGCTGTTGAGGGGCGGAGCCAGGGCGGGACCCTAGGGCTGTGCAAACCCGTGTGTGTAAGTGACGTCCACGGGGCTTTTCCGGTTTGGTTCTGATTCATGGCTGGGGTCAAAGAATGTCTGTAGTAGCTCACAGCCAGGTGAGGAAACCGTGCTTTCAGAAACACACCTTCGAAGCCCTCAGCTCTGCAGTGTGCTGTTCATTCTTCTATCCATTGTCTGCCTGTCCATCCAGCCGCCCACCCATCTCTTACACCCTCACTCAGCATGCATTCTCAGATGTCTTCCATGCACCGTGGCCTCTATCTCTGGAGCTGAGCCATCGGGACCCGCCACCTGTGTGCGTTCACTAACACACGTGTTTGCTGTTTTGTAGCAGAGGCACCGCATGGAATGAAATCCAGGGAGAATATTGAGTCCCCAGACCCAACTCGGGCAGTCTCCCCTGGGCCAGTTGCTCATTCCTTCTTTGCTTTCGTACCTCCGTGGCCCAGGAAGAGCTTCTTTAAAAGAGAGTCTCCTATGACGCATCGCCTGGTAAGGAACAGATCTGGGCTTCTGTGCAGTTAACATGTTTGGGAAGAAACCAGTCTTGAGCTTATCCTGCATAGAAAAGGCTTGTGTTCCTCAAAAAGGCCAGCTTCTTCTCTCACTGTGTGCGTCACTGGGGAGCAAACCCACACGCCTCCCCGGGTGCTTGTCCCGTGGCGCAGAGTGATCAGAGAGAGGCATCAGGCCTGAGGCAGCCAGTGAGAACGCATTTCGCTGCGGTTGTGCACGAGTCATGCCCAGATGCTGAGGGAGGATGCCGTTTCTAACAGCTGTGGGCGCCTAGCCTGTGTTTTCTATAAGCCCTAGCATCGTATGTGTGTGATGTGTGCTTCTATTCCCATTTTGCATACAAGAAACTGCGGAGTAGAGAGGTTAAGAAACGTATTCCAGGGCAGAACCGAGCCCCGAGGCCTCTGCTCTGAGGTGCAGCTCTCCCCCTGCTGTTATTTCAGGTTCTGTTTTATGTCTTGGTTCCTCAGAGCACAGTCTTTCAGTGGAAGATTTAGTGTCTTAAAGTGGCATTGAGAGCTCCTTGAGTTCAGCCATGGCAAATTAACTCAGACCTGGTGGCTTAATTCAGTAGAAATGAGTTTTTACTGCGCTGGAGGCCAGACGTCTGAAATCGGAGTGTGGACAAGGCTGTGATCCCTGAAGTTTCTTGGGGGGAACCCTTCCTACCTCCTCCAGCTCCTGGGGACCCCAGGTCACCTTGGCTCCTCTCTCTGCCTCCATCTTTTTTTTTTTTTTTTTTTTTTTTTCGGGGATTGAACTCAGGCCCTTGCGCTTGCCAGGCAAGCACTTATTGTACAGAGCCATCTCCCCGGCCCCTCTGCCTGCGTCTGTACATAACTTTCTCTGTGTCTGTGTCTGCTCTGCTGTGTGTGAGGTTGTCTGAGACTTAGTTTCCTTGCCTGTAAAATGGGAGAACTAGAATTCCTGCATGCGGAGGGATGGGCAGAATGCCGGGCACTTGGAAGATGCTGTCACCGTTGCCCTGATGATGATGTCACCTGCAGCCATGATGGTGTGGGGTGCAGGCCACAGCTCACCCATTGCAGGGGCAGGTGGGCTAGGCAGAGAGCAGGAGGCGTGGCCACCCCTGTGGGGAGTGCCACCAGCAGCTGCCGCGAGGAGGAGGGGCCCAGCCAGTAGAGGCGGTGCACTGAGGCCAGCAGGCTCAAGTGCTGGGGCTGGGGTACTGGCAAGCCTGGGCTGAACATCGTGGAGGAGACAGAAGCCTGCGGCTCCCAGGGCAGCTGATGGTGATGCCGGGCTTTTCACTGTGTCTTTTTGTGGGTGCCATTGTTGGGCCGGTGGAGGACAGACATGACCGGGCTCTCCATGCTCATGAGAGCCTCACTCATGGGGAGGCCACGCTGTGTGCTGTCTGTGTCCCTGGCCACAGTGTGGTGGTTGTGCTAAGTCAGCCCTGGCCAGGGGCACGGTGCTGCAGGATCTATGCGTCCAGCCCTTACGGGATGTTCACAGCGCTGCCTGCAGCCCCCCTGCTGAGGTGCAGCCCTCGCTTGCTGAGTCTGGGGGTAGCAGGCGGCCTCCACATGCTCCCAAACCAGGAGCGACGCGTGGTAATTCCACGTCCACATTCTCCCAGTCCTTAAATGCTGCTGAAAAAATCTTCAAGATTACTTAAGAAGGGATTAATGGAGGTAATCCCTTTATTCTCTTTTAAAAAGTTTGTCCTCTTATTCTTTTATTTAATGTGTGTGCATAAAATATTTTCATGTTCTAATAATTTCCGTATTTTCTTGTAGGATGGAGACACTTCAAGAGATGTTCAAGGGATCTCTGAGAATGGAGTCATTTTTCAGAAATGTGTGCTGGTGAGTTTGCTTGAAGTGACTTATTCTTGAGAAGATAATTGGATTTTACCTCACACACATCAGTAGAGTCATGCATTTAAGAACTGGCAAATTATGGGCTTATCTGACCATGTCTAGACCCATAAGCAATGACAAAAATGGTATGGAGTCTGTGTCGGTCATTTGCTTCATTGCTGGGAGGAAGCACCCAACACACCCAACTGAAAGGAAAGAAGATTGATTTGAATCAAGGTTCTAGAGGTGTCAGTCCATGGTTTGCCAGCTCAAGGAAGAATTATGGTGGAGGGCCTCAGAGGAGGAAGGCTGCCCACCTCATGGCAGCTAGGAAGCAGAGGGGAAGGGAAAGAGTCAGAGAGGAGGGGGGTCAAGAGACCCCCTTGAAGGGCAACCCACCCGTACTCCCGGGCCTGGCCTCCTCCAGTTAGGTCCCATGTCCCAGTGAGTCCCTTGAGCTTTGAGCTCACTGATGGGTTCCTCTGCCTGATGACATCAGCATCCTCCTGAGCCACTCAGTTCCTCAAATTCCGTCAGCCAGCAACTAAGCCTTCTTCACAATGTGGCTTCTAGGGTCCCAGGCATAACAGGATCGGATCTGTTTTATGGCCGCATTCAGGTCAGGGGCTTCTTTAGATAAAGTATCATTGGCAAACATTTACAGGGAACAGGGAATAAAGTCTGACATATTTACTTCCTGATTATAGACATCAGCATGGGACTGGATGGTTCTGGAACTTTGTTTCAAGTCTGTTAGCTCCTTAGAACTGTGTGTATCAGCTTTTCTGTGTATCAGCAAAAGGTACACAGTAAAGTCAACAAAGACGTCAGGTGCACGTGGCAGAGCCCAGGACAGACCAAGCTCGAGTCTCCAGGTGTCTGTCCCCAAGGGAGCTGCATGGACAGTGCTCGGCTCTCCCAGCAGTAATGTGTGACAGGCAGGACCGCCAAGCAGGGAGCTTCTCCCGAGCCTTGGTGGCCGGGATTCTCTCAGGGTTCAGTCACATTGGCTTGGAGCACCCATCAGACTGGCATCAGTTACGTGGTCTCCTGTCCCTCCAGAGGTCACATGGACAGTGTGGCCCCTGTCACCTGTCACCTGTCACAGGTCACATTGTTGGCCACAAATATCTGGTGTGGGCCAAGGCCATAGGCATCCGAAAGCTTCTCCAGGCTGGCTGTGTCAAGAGCCTCCGAGGTTATCTCCTAGGAGCAGGGCGAGAGCCAGGTCCTTGGGATGTGCAGGATTTTGACAGTGCAGTTGAGCTTATTCATGACCCCAGCCTCACTTTCCTGTGGGTCGCGCATTAGTCCACTCATTTTCCTGGATATTCTCAGCGTTACCTGTTTCTCGTATCTGCTTCTGGTGGCACTGTCTGCCTTCTGCGTGCTGGTATGAGTGTGCATGTGTGTGCACATGCATATGTACATGTCCGTGCCTTCCTCTCTTTTGTAGGCAGCATAGATCACGTGGTGCTTGAGCTTGCTCTTTACACTGGCGTGTCTTGGAGAGTACACTGCCTCCTCTCTTCCTTCAGCTCCTGCAGCTCTTTCAGCAGAGCTGGGAGAAGCAGGTGCAGAGGTGGTAAGAGTGAGGCTGAGAGGAGGCAGCAGGGCAGGGACGCAGGGCCCAGCAGGTGGCGAGCCAGCCGCTGGGGCCCTGCACGGGGCCCACACTGAAGCCCCTTGTCCTGTGGCTGGGAAGAACCTGCGTGGGGGAGGTGGGCCGGGAGCCGGGGAGCAGCGGGGCTCTCTGGAGCTCAGGTGGCATCGCAGAGCGCGGCTCTGGGGCTGTGTATCCGAAGCCACTGTTTGCTCTTCTTCGGAGCGCTGCGTGTCACTGTCTTTGTGGCCTGACGACTGCTGCGTCTGGACCTTTTTCTTCTGAGAGTCTCTGCAGGGAAGATTTCCTTGCATTTCAGAATCCCACTTTCTTTGAGACTGTCTGCAAGCAACAGCTTGGCGTGTGCGGGTCAGATCCCTCCTGGGCTTGGAAATCAGGGACCCAGTAAATTCTCAGAACGTCTGCCAGAGCGGGGGAGCACGGGCGGGCTCGTGTGTCGAGTTCGGAAGCTGGCCTTGGCAGCACATCTGCCCCTTTCTCACCTCCTCCTGTCCCAGGTGTCCGGGCAGAGCGAATCCCAGACGGCGCGTGTGCATCTGGTCGTGAACAACACCCAGGCACCCTCGGCAGCCAACCTCTCGGACCTGCTCCTGCTGGATGACATCAGTGGCCTCACTGTCAGAGACTCAACTGGAAATAAGACCCCAGATGGATTGCAGGCTTTCAGAAAGCCATTCCTGCCAGGTAACAGCAGAGCGCGCTTAGACCAGGGATGGAAAATGATAAAAATATTCGCAGGTTAATGTGGCGCAGGCGCAGTATGTTCTAGACATGTCTGTTCACCTGGTTTAGGCTCTGATCAGCTAACCCATTGATTATCCAGGTAGCAAAGGAAGAGACCGCCACTCAGCATCTGCAGTCCAAAAACCTGATCACTTCGGTAGGGGATGTGCAATTTGGGGACAGAATTCTATGGGATTAAAAAAAATTCAATTTTTATAATGGGGAATTTCAAGCAGAAGGTGGATGTAGAGGAACGTCAAGCTATTCCCACAGGTGGGCTTGCAGAATTCTGTTCTAACGTGACATCTCTTGTCTTGGGCACTTTTCTTTTTCTTTGATAAAATAGTCAACACCGACAAGTTAAAAGAGGAAGGGCTTATTTTGGCTCATAGTTTGTGGAAGTTTCAGTCCATAGCTGCTTGGCTCCAAGGCAGGACTGCCTGGCAGAGGGCATTGCAGGGCAGACAGTCCATGGCATGGTGGGCAGAGGCCGTGGAGAAGCAAGCAGCAGCCTGACCTCCTCTCGTCTCTTTCCCCTTACCCATGCCCAGCGTCATGCCACTCCCATTTAGGTGTCACTTACCCTGAGTCCTGGTGTCACACAGCCACAAGCCAGCCACTCCCCAAAGCCCCACCTGTGAGCACAGGAGACTCTGCGGTGACACCTGGATGCAGACTGCAACACATGGCCACACTGCCTGTCTCTGGGTCCCTTCCCTGAGCCATGAAGTACTCCTAGAGTTGTTACCTGTGTGCTCACAGGTGGGGCTTTGGGGAGTGGCTGGCTTGTGACTAGCCTGTTCTCCTCAGCCGACCACTCCCAGAATCTTCCATCCCCTATGAAATGAACTCTGCTGGGCCGGGGTCGTGGCCAAGGGGGGCGGGGCGCTGTGCTGTCCCCTCTGATGCGCATGTGCTTCTTTCTGAGCAGTGGGCGACTCCTACCTGGTCAGCTACACGGCATCGCTGGACCCTGGGGCCATCGGCACTAAGGAGCACCTGAGCCTTCCTGCCCAGCTCACTTTTCAGAGCTTGTCACCGGTATTGCCTTCATTGATTTCTGTCTTGTCACTCGTGGGAGGTTGTTTCAGGAGGAGGACGCGAGATGTGTCCCTCTTTCATTCCTTCAGTGCCCCACATGGGCCGATGGTAGGGATAAACACTCCAGATCTTTGCTGCCTCCGCAGCCGTAGCCAGTTAACTGTCACTAGCATCCCTTTGAGTTTGTCAGGGCTGTGGAAACAAAGTGCCACAAAGCAGGCAGCTCCTGGAGAACAAAAGTAGTGTCGCATCCCTGCCGGCTGCCAGATGGAGGTGGCTCCTCCTGCCTCTGTCCTTGGCTTGCGTGGAACATCTTCTCGCATGTCCACATGCAGTTGTCGCGTGTGTGTCTGTTCTCTTCTTTTTATAAGGACCCCAGCCCTATCAGGTGGATCCCACCTTAACCCACCCGCATTCTTTTTGATTATCCTTTCAAAGGCCCTGTCTCCCAGCAGTCACTGTCTGTCTGCTGAGGCTCAGGGCTTCGGCAGGTGTATCCTGGGAGCGGAGCCGAGCCCTTGGCGGTGTTCTGTCCATTGTTGCTCTGTTGCTCGTCTCTTTCTGAGCACCTGCTCTTGCAGTGGAGCTGTGGGCTGTGCATCCAGGAGGCACCTCGCTCAGGGCGCTCGTCAGGGCAGTGCGGGCCTTGTGGGCAGGAGCTCCTGGTGCCTCTGTTCCTTTTGCCATTTTATTCTGACTTCAGCCTCTGGAGAGAGACCTTTTCATAGGCATAGTAAGTGTGGCTTCCAGTGTGGCTGTGACTGCCCAGGTCATGTGGCAGTCAGTGAGACATGCAGTGGGGCTCCTCCCGGGCACTCTTGGAGCCCAAGGCTGCCACGGGGCCCGCGCAGCTTTTCTGCTGCAACAGGAAGAAAACTGCAGATAAAATTAGAGGAAAGGAAAGATGCTAAGATGATAAAGACCCAATACAAGAACACCACGTGGAACTGTCAGAAAAGAGAGAGCCATCAGGACATGATTAGGTGCAAAGTCGAACAGCACAGAGAGGTAAGAAGGAAGGGTGACTGCTCCCCCACTCCCAGTGCCTGCAGCAATGTCAGAGCCTAGGAAACCGCGTCAGTCAAAATAAAAATTTAAGACAAGTGCCAGAAATTCAAAATGGAGTGATGTTTGAAGCTCCTTTCTCCTCCGGGGTTTGGAGCCAAAGCTGTGGTGCAGCCCAGGACCCAGTGTCTCCAGCAGGGCTGGCGGGGGGCAGGGTTGGGCGTGGTCCAGTCCCTGCCACCGTGAGCAGCCTTGCACTTCCCAGCTCTGAATTCCGTGGTTTGATCGCGGAGCATTCCGGTGTGGATGGCCTCTGTTTTCAGTGGACGGAGGCCCAGGCAGGTCAGCCCCCGGCCCACGGGCAGACTGCTGGGAGTGATGGAGCTGGGGGGCAGCCCAGGAAGTGTGGCTGTGACCACGACCCAGTCCTGCCGTGCAGTCATGCATCGGTGTCCTGCCGGCCCCCAGGAAGAAGGCTCAGACACACTGCCTTGGCACTCCTGGGCACCGCTAGGCATGGTGGCATCACCTTTATTTTCCCAGGTTCTGTGTGTTCCCAGCAGCAGAACACTAAAGGCACTGGGACTAGGCCCACACCCACAGGTATTGGGGTTGGGAAACTAGTGTTCAGTTTCCGTGAGCCCCCGGTAGAGAAAGCCCGACCTTTCCGCAGTAGGCTTCTGTTCCAAAGGCACCCTGGGTCCCCCTTGGGCTCTCCTGGCCTGCAAGTTAGGGCAAGTGCAGCCCCAGGCACTGTGGGTTGGAACTAACACCAGGTGCCCCCACATCTGCAAGACTGCAGCAGCAGTCAGCACAACACCCTCTTCTTTCTTTTGTAGAACAGAACACAGCTGCAAACCCTCTTGACCATAACAGTGGCTGAAAAGATAACAGTAAGTGACAACGCATGCCTGAGCCCCCTGCCTATCTGGTGAGCCCATGGCCTTGGCTTGGGGTGTCCGGGTCTCTGGTTTGTCCTTGGAGCCCGGGAGAAGCACTGGGGGATGCCTGCAGTGTTGAGTTCCACGTGATCCTGGGCTGGCTGGCTTTCCTGGATGACCATCTCTCTGGGAGGCAGTTGGCCACTGCCTGGACAGGCCGAGATGCCACCTGGTGATCTGCACTGCTGTTTATCCTGCACCTTCCTGTCCCCAGTGTTTGCAGTTAGTTCTGGCTGGGGTTACGTTTCGCCTTCCCAGATGGGCCCAGAGCCCAGCACCCTGCCTGGCCGGCCTCCCTGCACCGGCCAGTCATGGTTGGCATGTGCAGTGCTGCCTACCAGTGTGCTGTTGCTCGGCGCTGTCCCACTCACACTCTCACCCTGCACTCGCTGAGGCTCGGTCACTGGCGCGTCTTCCTTCAGGTTCTCCGGAGAGCCGGGGCCTGTAGGCAGTGTGTGTAGACTGTTAGAGAGATTGGCTCACACGATCCTGCAGGGGTGTGAGGTGGGGGCCCTGCATTGCCCTCTGAGTCTCGTTTTGCTCTGTGTGGGACCCAGCCAGCTGGGTGGCGCTGCCCGCAGGGAGGAGGGCATGACCCTCCTTAGTCTGCCACTCACCCTCCCAGGCACGCCCCTCGGTAACACTTTCTCTGGATTCCAGTCTGCATCTGCAGGGTGCCAAGTCTTTCAAGCAGTTTATGTCCACCACGCCCTGTCATCTTCACCCATCTCATGAGAGATTATACATCACCCCCCCTTAGCACATGGGAAAGCCAAGGCATACAGACCAAGTACCAGTCATTTGCCCAAGGTCTTAGGATCTTAGCTCCCCAAGAGCTCCTCCAGGCTGGTGACCTCTGGGAGCACTCACAGGTCTACTTGGGGTCGTGCTCGGGGCTGCAGCTGACTCCAGGGAGAGCGCACAGAGGGAAGTGTGTTGGGGTGTAGCGTGGAATAGGCCAGCTGCCAGCATGCAAGAGCCCTTCCCAGGCGAGTTGGCAGGAGAGCGGCACACCTCTCAGGCTACTTACCTCCTTTCTGCTGGGCTGCAAGGTGATGAGACAGACTCAGCCCACATCAAGCATGGGGTACACTGCCTCTGGGTGGCCTCCAAGCCCTTCACGGAGAGATGGCCTGGTCAAGTGACTGTCCAGCCGGGCCGTCAGCAGCACAGCTCGCAGCTGTTTGTCCTGGTCTGAGTTCCTGCCAGCAGAGGCTGAGTGTGATTAGCCCTGTGTCCCCTGCAGTGCCTTGCCCTGTAGGTGACATTCACCCAATGAACTCCCTTGACTGAACTCATCAGTATTGACCAGATGTGAGACAAAAGGTGGTGTGGAGGGGCCCCCAATGTGGCTTGCAGCTCCCCTAAATTTTTTTTTTACCATGCCACGAGATGTGTTTTATTTTCATTTAACATACAAATAATTTTCTATAATATCCCAGGGCAAACCGGAGAATTTGGCAGTCCGATTGGAGGGGTCCCCTCAGAGACCCACGGGCCGGTGGCATCGGCGCGGAATGCCCGGGTTCACAGTGCAGCTTGTGGCTCGTGTCCATCTTGCAAGTGGCTCTTCCTCCACATCATGACTGGGGGGTCTCGGAGATGACGGGGGCGGGGAATTGTCTGGGCTCTTAGGAAATCTCACTCCGCTTTTCCTGCTCAGTGGTCTCTTTGGTCGGCAGGGTGTTCTTCTCCTGCGTCTCCGTCTTCTTCAGCTTGGCCTTATCGAAGCTGGCGATTTCCCCCATGTCTGGTTTGTCTGCCATTTTCTTAAAACAATCAGAAAGTGTTTCGCTCCGAGCCCGAGCTCCTGTGCTCCCACTCGCGTTGCTGCAGCACGAGACCAGCTCCCCTAAAATTTCCATCTCTCATTTAAAAACACGTGAAGTCGCTCACTGCGTAGCACGTGAAAATGACGTCATCATTTCCTTTGCTTCTTGTTTCTTTTCTGAAGCTGAAACTGACTGCTGTTAGTCCGGAAAAGGGGTCTCCAAAAGCTTCTGTCCATTTCCTTTCAAGAAGTCGTCTGTCCCTCTCTGCCTCCTGAATGAGGAGTGTCTGAGAGGCAAAGATGTCACACCATGCAGGACACTGTGCAGGTCTCTGATGGCTGAGACCGCGCCTCAGGCCAGGTGTTCCTGTGAAGGGGCTGGTGCTGGCCAGGGAGCAGCTCATCTACTCTGCCGCTAGCATCTCAGGCCTCATCCAGAGAGGCATTTAGACTCATTGTCGGGCTTCTTTCTTTTTTAAATCTTTTAAAATTGTTTACTTATTCAGTACAGGGTCTGGCTATGCAGCCTGGACTCCTCCTGTCTTAGCCTCCCCAGGGCTGGGATTACAGGTGTGCATCACCATGCCTAGTTTTGGTAGCCAGTTCAGCATGGTGCCAGCACAGCATGCGGTACGTGGGATCAAACCTGGGCCCGTGCGCGTTCTAGGCAGACGCTTCGACTGTGAGCTATCTCCCTAGCCCTGCACATTTCTTTAGAGTGTAATTCCAATAATAATTCTAATGTGGCTTTGGGGGCAATGTGATCACGTCGAGTTTCACCTGAAGATACTTATTTATGAAACTCAATGGGGGATTTTTGAGGGTGAAAAGTAATATGTAAAGATTTGTCCCAGCAAATGTTAAACATGTGACAGGCGGGCAGCACTGTGGTGCGTGCCAGTGAAGCCAGACCAAGGGAACAAGAGAATATCTGCACATGTACTTTGTAACAGAATGCTGGAGGCAAACGGCCTTATGTGAATTGGGGCCGGTGAGTGGGTCTTCTGTAAGGAAAAATAGAGCAATTAGATTAAGATGTAAACAGATAAAGCGAGTTGTGAAAATAACACTGGGGCGAGAGGAAAGACATGGGTTTCAGTATGGAAGAACTTTGAAGCTTCACACTTAAACACTGTAAGAAAGATAAACGAGGAGCTTGTGGAGGCATGTATAGTACACAGAGGCAGCGAGGGCTAGCTTAGAGCCTGCCTGCCAAGTGCAAGGTCCTGAGTTTGATCCCTGGTACCACCACCAACCAAAAGGATTAAAAGAGTACGTGGTAATTAGTAAGAAGGAACCCTTCAGTAGATAGCTTCGAAGATATGAGGCTTTCTCACAAACAAGCTTCTTTGGGGGCCCTGGGGCCCGGCAGAGGGAGGCTGTAGCTGTGGACATGGGGCATGGCCTGGAGTTGGACTTGAGCGCTTGCATGGCACCTGCCAGCTTATTGTGTCCCGTCTTTTCCGAGGCCACGGAGAACTGCCCAGAGCACTTTTGCTGTCCTCCCCACCCTGAGATGTGCTCCCATGCCCCAGGCCCGCACTGCAGTGGTACCCCTTAGAGCACAAGCCCTGCTGGCTGTGTCTGAGGGGCCCCTTTCCGGGGCTCCCAGTGCCCCCGGGACCCTGTCTTTCCACGTCTCTTGGGCATTGCTCTGTCCTTTCCTGTGCTTTGACAGCTCCTAGACATCCTCAGGACCCTGCGTGGCTCCCACCTCCACCTCTTGAGGCTCCTTGGTGGCCCTCCTTGCGGGGTGCCAAGGCACAGCAGCAGCTGCTGAGCCTTGGCACAGTGGCAGTGAGGTCGCTCCTCTGGATGACATTTAAATTGTGCTCATTGACATCGCAAGGAAGTTCTGTCCAGGACAAGACCTTAACGTCAGAGTGAAAACCTGGGATCTGGCTAATCCCAACACCCAGGGCCACCTTCGGGGTAGGGACGCACGTGCCGCGTGTGCTTTCTGCTCTGAGTCGCAGCCTGAGCTGTCGAGTTGCCGGAGCACGCCAGGGAGTGTGGTGGTCTCCACCTGTGCTCACCCCTGAGCGCTCGCTTTTCCCAGCACCGTCAGCTGTTTGGTGGGGTGACAGTCTGTGCGCCTGGGGCAATGGGACAAGGGTCAGCAAGCCCCCAATGTCCTCTGCTCCTTGGGTCTTTAGCTCAAAGCAAAGAATTTCAGCAAAATCACCCCTAAAATCCCTTCCTGGGAGAAGGCTGTCTGTAGGTTCTGTGTGGTCTCCCACTGCCTTCACGCTGCTGCGTTCTGGGTTTGGGGGTCATGGCCAGGGTTTAAGACAGGCCCGGGTGGACCTTTGACGTCTGCCCTCCACCCTCCACATCCAGAAGGGCTGGAAGAATGAAGCAGCATTCTGGCCACCAGAGAGAACCCTCACTGAGAAGTGGGCCTCTTGCCTCTGCCAGGCTGTGTGTACGTTATCGCGTAATTGCAGCCAGCCTCTACCAGCAGTTCTCCGGCATGTCTGTGCGCTGGTGGGATCGCAGCCTTTAAAGCGTTCCTTTTGAAGAGCCTTTAGACAACTGTGCCGCCTTTGGGCCTGGTTGCTTCAGCGTAGCGCTGTGTTTTGCATTCCTGGTGTGGCACGTACCAGGTCATCTTTCCTTCTTTGGCTGTGTGATAGTCCGTGGTGGCTGTGCAGCATCTTGTTGTTTAGCAGAATGCTGGCCCCTCCCTGCGCTGGCTCTTAAGGGCAGTGCTGCTGTGGACATGGAGGTGCAGGTTTTGGTGGGAGTGTGTGCCTTTGGTTCTTCCCAGTGCATGCTCAGAAATGAAGTTCCAGGGCTACCTTTGTCCTTGCCTTCCAGACGAGGCCCCTGCAGCACGGGGGGAGGCCGAGGGTTCTGCAGCATGGTTGGGGCAGGGCTGGGTCGGAGTGCAAGGTCTCCTTAGCACTTCCTGCTGGGCCAGCACCTTCATTTCTCACCTACCATGTCTTACGCTCTCCTGACTGAGGGCATGTGGCAGCTGGAGTTGCCCTTGCTGGCTGACCTGGCCATGTATCCTCCTGCCAGGAACTGCCACCCCATCCTCCCAAGTTCTTGAGAAGATGTGGTGAATCCCAGGCCTGATCCCAAAGGTGTCTGGGCCCTGGTTGCTTCCCTTGGCACCTGTGGGTCCCGCCCATGACTCCCTGCTTATTCTCCATGCCCACCAGGACACCTCTGG